CCCTGCTCACCTCCCGGTCTGATGGGTCCTCTATACCCTAGCCCCCCCCGCCCATGGGTCTCCTATACCCAGGCAACCTTCCCCCGCCACATCCCATGACCAACTGACATCCACCAGCTGCATCCTCGTTCCACCTGACTACACAGAAGGATCCGTCACACTCCGGTACTCCCAGTCAGCTTATAAGCCCCACTCTCTGTCGGCATCTCTTCAGCCTGGTCTCCTGACGACGGACAGGGCATACTGTCCGAAACGTTGAGTTCCTCACAGAGGATTTTTTCCATCATCATAAAGACTTTATAATGGAGATCAATATGGGGGCCTGCATTGGTCAGTAACTGTGGCACCGTGCCTTTAATAAGTAGGATAGTTGTAGAATATCATTGTCACATGCGCACTCATTTTCCGCCGGGGCACAAAAAGGAGTTCGGCCAAAGAAATTGTAGGACTGTGTAAAACATGACCCCGGTCATTCCCTGGCTTCTTCGACTCCCATCTGAGAGCACAGCAGAGAAAATGGCATTGACAAATCGGCCTGAAAGTGGGTGGGGTGCCTAGTCCCATAAACAGGGCCCTATCCATAGAAAAAATGTTGGAAAAACGCCCTCACGCGTCGTCATCTACATCTGTTTCGCGGGGCCCCAGTACAGTAGGGAGGTCCCCGTTGTGGAGGTGGGGCCTGATCAGTGAGGTGTAGCTTGACAGACCCTTATGACCGAACGCGACCGTACCGTGCAGAGTAAAAGGACGGCCGACTGCGGAAGAGCAACGTAAATCAGAATTGATTCAAGTCTAGTAAGCTAGTGGAATATTTTTCAACCGGATTTGGTGCACGTGCGCGCCCGGCTGGGTGTCCCCCACCCGCCCTGTCCGCAATTTTTCCGTATTATTAATGGTGCGTAGCGGAGTGTACAGAAATGTATTGCCGCCACATATCTAGAAATATTTTGGTCACTAAAGGCGCCTTTCCATATTTACCTTTTTTGGTTGCGTTGCATACACGATGTGTTCATGCGCCCCGGGAGCGATTTTGACGGATGCGCAACGCTTGGCGCAAGTGTTTGAAGGGCATATGGAAAGACGCTTTTACGTGCGTGGAAACTGATACGCACGTACGTGAAACTATAACATGTACATGTACATACGTGAAACTATCACGTACATGTA